TTTTTTTTTTGGCTAATCAAAATAATTTGAAATTGGGATTTGTGACTGCGGTAAATGTTGTTATATAACTCTGACTACAGTTCATATCAATAACTGTTACTGCTCTAATCAAAAACAAAAAAAAAAAAAAAAAACAACTTGTTATAAAAATTCTTTGCTTTTTTGTAATATATCAATAAAGTTTTTTTTTTACAATAGTAACAAAATATATAAAAATTGAAAAAAGAACAGGAAAGAAACTTCTTTTTTTTTATCTATTTTTTATACACTTACAAAAATTATTTTTGACATTTTCACTCCATTCTCTGCTTGTCACTTGTAATTGACACATTTTGTTTTCAACATTAAACTATTTATTCAAAAATTTATTTAAAAAAGTAAGATCTTTAGAAAATGCAGGAAAAAATTCTTTCTTTTTTTTTTGTGTTTTTTTGTTTCCGGTTTCTTATCTGTAAATTACCAGTAGCTTCAAATGGTTTATGACTTTTTAAGATTAGCTTTTGAGGATTTTGATAGTGCGTACAACTGGTGAGTTGTGTTAAGGTAACAAACGATGATACTGTTCTGCAATCTTTGTAAATTATTTGTCCTATTTGTAAAAGTCTTTAAAGCAATCTATTTTTAGAGCTGATTATGAATGAAAAAGGCCTAAAAGTAACGCAACAGCCAGAGAAAAGTGGAAAGATTTTTAGAAGTCAGTTCTGGTTTAATAGTGACTCTAAAGACAACAAATCTAATCCGGAAACAATAAAGAGACCAGAATCTTCAGTGAGTCGTCAGTTTCAGCCAAGAAAGCAACAAGGCCTAACAGAAACATGGGCAAAACAATCGCAAGAAAATGTTGGTTAATTTTTTCACTTTTTACGTACAATGACTATACGACACTTACTTTCTTAGCATTCAGTATTATTCTTCAATTGTAGTTAGCAGATAGTACATTTTTCCTGAAAGTATTTTCACAAGACTTCTGGTTAAGAAAACGAAATTGAGTTAATTCTGCAGCGCGATGATCAAGGATTCAATTATACACCATTCAAATCAGCTCCAGTTGCTCGAGCATCATCTATCAACATGCTTCGAGAAGGAACACCAAATCCTCCGGGAGCGCAAGTTGTTCTTCAGCCACAAAGTTTGGAACAATCTAACAGTGAGGCTTTTTTTTTTTCATTAAGCATCTACAGCAAAACCAAAATTTAAAATTTAACGACCATTTAGTTTCTATTTCAGGAATGTTAGCACAGGGCGGATTGCAGTCGGTTTATCCACAACCATATATGCCCTCACAATACCCACTTTATGGAGTGCTTCCAAACATAAAAGGTAACCACGAAATGAAGGCTGTAAATTTGTGACCAAGAAAAAAAAAGACCCTTTAAAAGTAAAAAATATTGGTGTAATTAAAGTTATAATTTTAATATGTATTTTCCTAAAAAAAACGATTGTCGTAGAAATGCATCCCCAAGGACAAAGTACGCCCAAGCTACCAACTCATCTCCAAGCTCGTTCTTCGTTAACCACACATTCGGCTGCTGGTACTTTTACTTTTAATTATATTTTTGTTGTTTGGAAAATTTGGTGAAAAATAGCTGAACAGTTAGAAGAGAGATTACTGCACCAGATTTAAATATATAACCTCCCACATTCGCAGACGTTCATGCATATCATCCAAAAGCACAAATGTCAACGATGATGCCTCGCCCTATGTCAGGTACCTTGTGGAAAAGTCCAGCAAGTGCTGAACTTCCTCCTCCACCGGGTCCTTATCGACCTTCAAGTGCTATGAATGCTTTACCAGTTGCTCGTTCAAATTCTCGTGCAGCTAGTGAGCTTGGCTTAGGTAATAACTACATATTTAAAAAAAAATTTTTGAATTTCTTTTTCCACCAGCAATTGTACAACACTAAAGATGGTAAATATTAAAAACAGGTGTCGGATTGAGTTCGCGATACCAGAGCTACTGTACCTTACCTCGACCAGAACAGGTGGAATACGATCAGCAGTCAAATTATGGTAGCGAAATTGAGCACATGGCACAACAAATAAATATGCTTTATGGTTCATACAACAATAAACCTCATGATATAAATGTTAATGATCAAAAACTGAACAGCCAAGTAGGTTTTTATTCAATTATAAATTAATTTTTGTAAACGTTTTTTATTTCTATTTTTTATTTTTTAGATAGAATTTCTTGTTGATTTCGTCGTTGTTAGGAACAACTATTTTAGGGTGGGCAACACAGAGGTCCACAAACGATGTTAGCTGGAGCTCCTGGTATGGCAAGCGACTATATAAAACCACGACTTTCTAACGGTAATAACATTAATTCTGATGCTCCAATCGGGACACTGAATAGCGATGAAGAAATCTTTAGAACACCGAAGGATATTGTCTATTTTGATGGACTGTCACTTTTGTCGGTGTTTCAGGTATAGTTTATACAGTGTTATGATTACAATTTATTTAACAGATATTAGGCATTCAAAAATAATTACATTTGATGATAAAACGAAATTACCAAATGAAATTTTTTTTCAATAATTGTATTTTTTAGACCTGTTATTAAGGATTGCAAAGAAAAAAAAAAAAAAAGAAAATTGCACCATTAAATGTTAAGTAGTTATTTTGGCTGCAAATTACAGGTTGTTTGTGCCATTGTAATTTTCACCTGTGGTGTTCTACGCATTATATGGCATGCTAAATGGTCTCTTGGCGTTGAACTTGCATATGCTGTCGTCGTTTTTATCACTGCAGCTATCGGTATATATGCCAGTAGTAGAAGGTTGACAAATTAATCTTAAAACTTTTAGTGAATAACATCAAAATTTCTTTTTTCTATAAAGTAATAGGCAATAAAATTGTCAAGATTATCAGTTGTTGTACTAATTTCTTTTTTGCTTCATTTTCACTTCCTCAGTATCCGAATTTTCAGGTCATACTGTTCGGCAGCAGCTGCATTCGCGCTTTCCGGCATAAATTCGGTTGTTGGACTTGTGCCTCTTGTTTTTGGTATAACTTTTTAGCCTAAAATTTTGACAAATACACTACCATGTTGCTGATCAGACAGCGCTACTTCTGAAACTCTACAATAGGTTTAAGTAAAATGTTCTTTTTAGGTGTTTTACCAGCTGTACCATTTATACTGTCGAATACAAATGTAGATTGGTTTGCTAACGAAGATGAATCTTATTTAGTGGATTATTTGTTAAGCTTTTCCAGCTTTGTTGAGGTATACTAATTGCAATCTATGGAATTTAAAACTAAGAAATTTTTTTTGCGTTATTATCAATAATGTTAAAAACAGTTTAAATTTTAGATTGTTTTGGCAACAATTTTGGCAATCTATGGCTGTAAATCGATGGGTGCAACAATGCAACAAGTTGAGAAACTGCGATTACACGCCGATATGAATGTAGCATTCGATAACTCGTCAAATTCGATGCGCAAAAATTCTGTACCAACCGAAAAGAAGATGCCATTGCAGTAGACAAAAATGCAAAAAACGACAAATTTTCTTGCCACAATATTAAATTCTCATTATGTTTTTGTGTTATTTGTTATTATCTCCTTTATGACGACAACGTTTACGCGTAATTGTAAAACAATTGAAGAAAATTGCTTAATATGATTACCGTCATGTTATGGAATCTTTAAACTACTTGAAGTTTTCAGTGCTGATTCAACGACATTATATAATACTGTTTTATTTTCGCGTTACAGATATACATATGTATTTTCTAATTTTCTTTTTTACATTTTAACAGTTTAAGTATCAGTCAGTAATTCT